ACCCATTGTCAATTTACTTAGGAAACAAAAAGTTGTTTGATACAAAAATTTTCAAATACTACAAACGGTATTTACAAGTGGAACGTTTGTAAATAATAACCAAACATAAACGTATGATCAATCTAACATGTTCAGTTTATTATATTTCATATAATGTATACAATATCATACACGTGTATCATTTACATTTTTTTAAATGAAAGTACATATTTACTAAAAAAAATACAATAGCGAAAAAACTTAACATAAATAACATTATCCCATTACCCATAAACCTCAATAGTGTATACTGCATTATTGACTGAAGTACAAACAAGATAATTTATTCATTATTCAGTATCAAGGATACTGTGATTATTGTACGTGCAATGACAACAGAACAGCTAAATGTGTCCTAATCTAAAGTGATCACTTAAAACGTCACTATTATTATAGGTACTATTATTTTGTAAATAACCATGACATAGCCAGATATTATGACGTAAATGTTCGTAATAATTATGCATAATTAACATATTTGTGACCTATGACAAAAATATCATTTATGATTATCAAAAGATACCAATATAAAATGTTATATATATACTAGCAAATGTCTTGATATATATATATATATATATATATATATATATAATATTACAATGCATAATAAAAAATACAAAGAAAATCATTATCCATGTACTCAAAACAATGTTAGTATCAGCAACAAACTGCAGAAACTAACAATACTTTATTATTAAAGTAGTACACCATATCTTAATACATAGGTGATGCAATTCGCGCAGTTTTTGATGTAATGTGGCTAACTAGACATCAAAATACACATGGCGTGTTAATATCATTGGATTTCAAAAAAGCTTTTGATTCTGTTGATCACAATTTTCTGATAAAAACATTGGAGGTATTTAATTTTGGTAATTCCTTTATAAATTGGGTAAAAACATTTTACAGTAGCATCTCTTCCTGCGTGATGAATCATGGAAAGTCAACTGGTTACTTTCCCATTGCAAAAGCTGTTTATAACAGTAGTGGAATTACTTGCAATCAGTATTCGAAAT